TTTGGTTGATTGTACTCAAAAGTGTTAGAAAGTGAAGTAGAGATAAAAATGTTAAAAAACTTTAAAAACCAAAAAAAAGAAAAAGGTTAGTTTGTGGAGCCCATTAGAAATAAAAGTGGAAAAAAAGGATTGAAAAAATGGCAATGAGTGGTGATGGTTTTGAATGTGGGAAGGAGAGCAAAAAAGTACTGATGGTAGTAGAGGTGGTGCTGGTGGTGAAAAAAAGTAGGAGAAGAAGGAAATGGTTGTACTTGCCTCACCTTTGAGTTCGATTACTTCTTCTTTCGGTACTGACAGGGTGGCTGCGCCTGGTTGGGCCAGTTGCAGGTGCTCTGCACCTCATCGAAGAAGAGCCCCTCAGGACAGGCAAAGTAGAACCTCTGACTTTCCGTGCAGCGGTAGAACATGCCGCAGTTGTTCGGGTCGCGGAAGAAGCCCTCACCCGGGCAACGGAACCCGTTCGACGGCGCCTGTTCCACCTGTTTGGGCTTCCGGTTCAGCGGTCGCTCACTCGGCGGGCTGGCTGGCAGTGGTTGTGGTTTCTTTGGCAGCGGTTTTGGTTGTTTGTAGTTGGCGGACTTTGGCTTCGTTTTTGGTTTAGGTTTTGGCTTCGGCTTTTGTTTGTTATTGGCAGTCAGTTTGTTGGCAGGAGAAATGTGGCGTTTTCGGGGTGCAATTTGCTGCTGCTGCTGTTTGGCAGACTTTGCTGGCGGTGACTTCTTTGGCGGTGTCTTACTTCCGGCGGATGGCTTTTTGGGCGCTGGGCGAAGAGCCTGCTGCATCGCCAGACGAGCCTTCTGTACTGGAGAGAGTGGACCTTTTGGTGGTGGTGGTGGCTGCTTTTTGGCAGGAGACTTCTTTGGTGGCGCCTTCTGAGCTGCGGCGCCGCCCTTCTTTGCCTGGGCAGACTTGGCGGGCGATTTTACCGGTGGTGGTGGTCGCTTATTAGCAGGAAATTTCTGCTGAGAGGCAGATTTGGTGGGCGGGTAGCTTTTAGTGGCAGCAGATTTTGGCGGTGGTGGTGGACTTTTGGTGGCTTTAGGAGGTGGAGATTTGACCGGAGGTCGCGCCTTGACTGGCGCCGGTCGAGAGGCAGGCTTTGAGGCAGCTTTGGATTTGGGCTTAGGTTTGGGCTTGGAAACCGACTTGGTTGGGTACTGAGGTTGGGCTTGTGGTTGGGGCTGGGGCCTAGGTGGCTGCTGCTGACTCTGGGCCAGTTGTCTGCCTTGAGAGGCAGGCGATTGAGGGGCAGGAGGAGGAGGAGGAGGCTGCTGCTCGACCGGGGCAGGCGGAGGGTAGCTTGGTTGGGCAGTTTTGGTTGCTAAAAGTAAAGGTTTAAAAGTTGTAATGAGATTAGGAAAATTCAGCATCTTAATCACACACTAAACATACCTGGCGGTGCCTGTACATAGGGCTCATACTGACTGGGCTGCTGCTGCTGAGTCTGATAAGGGCCATCCTGGGTCTCCATGCCTGGATAGGCTCCAGGTTGCTGTTGCTGCTGCTGCTCCTGGGGCGGCGGCGGATAAGGCTGTTGCTGTTCGGGAGGAGGCTGCGGTGGTCCTTGTTGTGCAGTAGGTGATGCGGCCTGTCCCTGCGTCTGCGCCTTGACCGGCTGACCACAGGTAGGATAGGCCTGTGCTGGCCAGTTGCAGACGCTGTACCGCTCGTCAAAGTGCGTGCCCGGACCGCAGGCAAAGTCGAAACGGGTGCCCTCGTGGCACCGGTAGAATTGGGCACAGTCTTCAGGGTGGCGGAAGAAGCCGTCCTCCGTGCAGGTGATGCCTGAGCCGGAGCCGGATTGCTGCTGGCCTGACTGCTGCTGCTGCTGCTGCGGATATCCGGCGCTCTGCTCTTCAGTCAACGGCTGCTGCTGAATGGGCTCCTGGCCAAAGGCAGGCTGAGGCTGAGGTTGTGGCTGTTGTTGTTGTGGTTGCTGCTGATAAGGCTGCTGCTGGGGCTGAGGCTGTGGTTGCGGTTGTTGCTGGTCATAAGGTTGCTGTGCCTGAGGTTGAGGCTGCTGCTGTTGTGGTTGTTGCTGCTGGTACGGTTGCTGAGGCTCGTACGGTTGCTGCTGCTGTGGCTGCTGTTGGGCCGCAGGGACGCTGCTCGGGTAGTCATTTTCAATCTGCTGCTCCACCGGTTCCTGTTCCAGTGGCTGCTGCTGGATTCGCTCTGCCGGGGCTGCTTGTGGCTGCTGTTGTGGCTGTTGCGGTTGAGCAGCAGCCTGCTGTGGCTGAGCGGCCACCGCCTCCTCTTCCGGTCCGGCCTGACTGTCGTCCAGCTGCTGCTGCGGCTGCGGCTGTGCCTCCTCATCGGGAACGCCTCCCTCCTCTGCTTTCTGTTCGGTGGGCGGCTGCTGTTCTTCTTCTGGAGCCGGCTGCACCACTGGCGGCACTGCGGCGGCCGGTTTAGCCTTTGATGAAGTCTTTGAGGGAGCTGGCGCCTCAGCTGGTGCAGGCTGCTGCTGCTGCTCCTCTTCAGCTGGTGCTTCCTCCGGTTTCTGTTCAGTTTGTGGCGCCTCTTCTGGTTTTTTATCCTCTGTGGGCGCCTCTTCGGGCTTCTGTTCCTCTGCAGGCGCCTCCTCGGCCTTCTGCTCATCAGGTGCTGGGGTGGACTCTTCTAGGGCGCCCTTCTCTCCACCGGTTGTTGTGCCTTCGACCTTTTCAGTGTCTGAGGCGGTTGTAGTGGTTGCCTCTCCGGCTACTGTGGTCGTCTCCGACTTGGCTGCTTCAGTGCTTGAGGCAGCTGTGGTTGACTCATCAGCAGCTTTGGTCGTCGTCTCATCTGATTTGGCCGTGGTCGTCTCGTCAGTCGATTTAACCGTCGTACTCTGTTCAGAGGAGGCGGTGGTTGGGGCGTCGCTTGAAGCTTTGGTAGTGGTTTCATCTGACTTGGCAGTTGTTGTTTCGTCGGACTTTGCCGTGGTGGTCGACTCATCCGCTGCCTTTGTTGTCGTCTCATCTGATTTGGCTGTTGTTGTGGTGCTGTCACTGGCCTTGGTCGTCGTCTCCTCGCTAGCTTTGGTCGTCGTCTCTTCGCTGGCTTTTGTGGTCGTTTCCTCTCTAGCTTTAGTTGTTGTCTCTTCGCTGGCCTTGGTGGTTGTCTCCTCACTGGCCTTTGTGGTTGTCTCATCGGATTTGGCAGTGGTGGTCGTCTTATCGTCTGCGGCCTTAGTAGTCGTCTCAGAATCAGCCGCTTTAGTAGTAGTTTCAGCATCGGATTTGGCAGTGGTAGTTGACTGGTCATCTGCCGCCTTGGTGGTACTCTCCGAAGAGGAAGCGGGCGTCGTGGACGCCGCCTCAGTGCTCGATTCAGCCGCTTCAGTGCTCGGCGCAGTGGTTGACTCGTCGCTGCTGGCGGGAGTTGTTGAGGCGTCTAAAATTGAAAAAAATGTTTAATGAGTATTTCTCAAATACTTAAAAGCCTAAACTGTCCACTTACCATCCTTGGGCTGCTCCTTCAGCGGCTCCGGCTTCTCCGAGGTCTTTGACTTAGACTTGGTGCCGTCCTTTGAGCGAGAGCTTTCCGCTGTATACAAAAAATAGAAATTGGTTTTAAACACATTTTATGTTTTATCATCTTGTTGACTTACGCTTTTTGCACTTTGACTGCGCCTCGGGGACACAGGCTTCCGTGGCCGGGTCAAAGGCAAAGCCCATGTCGCACTCAAACTGGTCAGCGGCGAAACCGTCTNAGAGCTTTCCGCTGTATAAAAAAAATAGAAATTGGTTTTAAACACATTTTTTGCTTTATCACCCTGTTGACTTACGCTTTTTGCACTTTGACTGCGCCTCGGGGACACAAGCTTCCGTGGCCGGGTCAAAGGCAAAGCCCATGTCGCACTCAAACTGGTCAGCGGCAAAACCATCCTCATCTGAGGTGCAGCGGTAGTAGTTGCGGCAGTTGGACTTGTCGGCGAAGCGGCCCTCCTTCTTGCACTGAAAGATGGACGACAGCGGCTTGCAGTTGCACTGCTCCGACTCGGGCTTGATCTCCTCGGCGTCCAGGTCGGTCAGCTGCTGCTCCATCACCTGCTCCGTCTCGTCCTGGGGCTGCTGCTCCGGCTGCTGCTGCTCTGGAGCCTTTTGCTCGGCAGATTCAGGCTCTTCAGGTGTTTGCTGCTGCTGCTGCTCCACTGGTTCCTCTTCTGCTGGTGCTGCTGGCTGCTTCTGAGCAGGCGGCGGTTGAGGCCGTCTTTGAGCCGCAGCCACTGGTTTCTTCTGTGTCTGCTGTACGACGGGAGCTGGCTCTTCAGCTGGCTGCTCCTCTGGTGCCTGCTCCTCCTGAGGAATTGGTTCTGGTTGCTGCTGCTGAGGTGCTGACTGCTCCTGCTGCTGTTGTTGGTCCTCTTGGGGCTCCTCCTGAGCTGGCTCCTGAGCTATTGGTTGTTGCTGCTGGGGCTGCTGCTGAGGAGCTGGTCTTCGTCGTTGAGCAGGGGCTGCCTGAGCTGCCTGCTCTGCCTCACTCGGCCACTCATCTGCCTGCTGGGGCTGCTGCTCCTCCTGAGGTTGCTGTTGTGGCTGCTGCTGCTGGTCAGCTTCGGGAATCGGGTACTGCTTAGGCTGCACATATCGCGGCTGCTGAGGCTGGGGCTGGTACTGTGGTTGCTGTTGGGCCTGAGGCTGAGGCTGCTGCTGTTGTGGCTGCTCATATTGAGGCTGCTCTTGGTATTGGGGCTGTTGCTGCTGCTGGGGCTGTTGGTATTGTGGCTGTTGCTCGTATTGTGGTTGTTGTTGCTGTGGCTGCTGGTACTGAGGTTGTTGTTGCTGTGGCTGCTGGTACTGAGGCTGTTGTTGCTGTGACTGCTGTCTGACATTCTGCAAGTCAACAGCTTCATTCGATACTCCCTGTTCAAACTGATCCGGTTGCTGCTGCTGCTGATCGGCGTACTCTACGCCAGGCTGCATCGGTTGTTGTGGTCTCTGCTGCTGCGGATAACTAGGCGATTGAGCTTGACCACCTGTCTGCGGCTGAGCAGGGTAGCCAGAGGGAGATTGAGCTGGGTACTGAGATTCGGGTTGCTGTTGCTGCTGTGGTTGTTGTGGATACTGAGATTCAGGCTGTTGTTGTGGCTGTTGTTGTTGAGGTTGAGGGTACTGCGAATCTGGTTGGGGTTGAGGATATTGAGATTCAGGTTGTTGTTGGGGTTGCTGTGGTTGCTGCTGTTGTTGTGGCGTTGGGTACTGAGATTCAGGCTGCTGTTGCTGCTGCTGCTGATCCGATGGCTCTGGTTCAGCAGAAGGCAACTTGGCGCCCTGACCTTCCGGACAAGCCGGTGCATCCCCTGGGTGGTTACAGGTCTGTACTGACTCATCAAAGACCGTCCCAGGGGCGCAGGGAAAGCGGTACAGGCGGAAAAAGTCGGCACCCTCATCTTTGGTACAGCGGAAGAACTGTGAACAGTCGGCAGGGTCGCGGAAAAAGCCCTCCGACTGGCACACACCTTCATCTGCAAAAAACAGGAAAAAAGTGTTAATATTTGAAAATTAAAAATACTCAAACTCAAATTCAAAAAATATTTTCATTGTGGTAAACGACAGCAAACAAACTTACTATCACGATCTTGGGCGAGGCTAGGACTGAGCAGTAGGGAAAGCACAAGGCAAGTGGAAATGGCAAATGATGGCCCTATGGGCCATTTTCCTCTGTGAAAAGTAGTCATCATCTTTTGGCACACATTCACACGGGAGGGGGCGTAGAGGTGGCGGCCTTGACCAAAAAGATTGTGGTCAACAAGAATAATTGACAGTGGGAGTAATGGGCAGTGTCAAGTGGGTCCGGTGGGATGGGACAAAAATGGGTTGACGGTCACTCGATTGTTGGCACAACAAAACTGAAAAGTTGGAACAATCAGCAGGCGAGGACACTGTTAATGATGATGGAACATTGAATGGTCGCCTTGAGTGGTGTAGCAATGGTGGCGAGTGAGAGAGTCGAAAGTCAAACTACCCAAATTACCACTTGCTTTTTATATGGCGGCTCTCTCGCCAGGCAAACGTGGGCGGTGATGATGAGCTCACCAAATTGCCATCCGATAAGATGTGGAAGTGGACAGTTAGTGCTAGCAGCAGTCAACACAGCTGAGGAGGGTTCCAGGCAGACAAACAGAGAGCAGCAACAGGTGGTCTGCTGTGGTTGTGGTTGTGGTCGTCGTCGACTGGCTTTGTGCCAACCCATTGGCGCCAAGACGGACGCCCAACAAGAAACTAAATTGCAAGAGATGAGAAGAGGAGTTGGAAGCAACAGAAGGAATGAAAAAAGAAGACACCGGAGAGGGAAAAACACAACACTGATGAATGCTGAACAGGTGAACAGTACGTGCACCAGCAACAGCAGAGGCAATCGGAAGTGGGCGCGTGCGGTAGAGCACCACACAGTGTGCAACAGTAGTAGTAGTGGACAGTGGTAGTGAAGAGAATGCTGCCGTCTACTGTTCTCACTACTGGTGGCTTATCTCTCTTCTGTGATGCCGTCGCCGCCTTGACTCATCAGAAGATGATGATGATGATGGGCGATCGAACACTGTCTGTTAAGTTGCAGAGAAAAAGAAAACACCGAATAAATGGCAACAGAAGAAGAAAGAGGAAAGACAGTAGATAATGTTGCAACACCTGTACAAAGAAGCAGAGGCGCCAGTGCATCCACAGAAAAAAAGAAAGAGACTTGGCTACCAGCGGCGGCGGCAACGGTGCTGTGCTGTTGGCGCTTCTTCTTCAACAACGTCTACTTCAATTTCAATGTCGAATGTGTTTAGCAGCTTCTGCTTTCACTCAGGCTGTGTGGCTGTAATATGTGTTCGATAGATGGGCAATCGTCATCAGCGGCATCTTCATCTTTGCCGTCTACCACTTTGTGTACAGTTGTGGCAGTAGTATTTACACAGTGTGACGATACTGACCGGTCAGAGATTGGTGCTTCTTCCTTTGATGCATCAACAGCAATAAAACTTGTTGCGCCCACCAGGCAGCTGCAGAGCTGCTGCACTTCTGGCCCAGCAGTTCAAACAGCAGCTGAATACTACCTACCCAGGCAGGTAATAGGTACTGGTGATGCTGTCGCAAATCAATCAACTGGGTAACCCCTCAGTCACTGAGTCACACACAGACAATTAGTGCAATGCAGCGCAATTGACACCTTTTTCCGACAGCCGAATTCGGTGGCGGCAGTTGGCAATTGTCAGACAGAAGAGAAAAAGGAGAAAGTCGGCAAATCACCTTTCAGCGTCCATTTGCAACCTTGCAACAGGCAACAACAGCAGCAGACCAGTCGTGTTAGGGGATTCTTCAGCAGCACCTGTAGCCTGCAACGGTGGTCTGCATTGCTGATGCTGCTGTTTTTGTTTGCTTTGTAGGTAGAGTAGAATAGAGGAGAACTGAGTAGTACTGTTCAGTCAAAAAAGGGGGCTGATAAGAAGACAAACAGAAGAGGCGAGAGGAGAAAGAGGCGCGCAAGATGGGCAAACAAGAAGGTTTGAAGAAGAGTGAAAGTGCCAACAAGTGGCAGCCAGAGTGACTGACTGACTGACTGATGCTTCTGCTGGTCACACTCACAATTGATGTGACTCCACTCGATAGCTACTTGAGACAAAATAACAATGCCACCGGTGTGTTCAACAGTGCCCTGCAGTCTGTCAATGTTAGTGGCTGGGAACGGCCTAACGGTCTGAATCTCAATTAGCAGATTTAGGAGAAGAAAAAAGTATATAAATTTGAAAGCGGCAATTTGACTGCTATTTCTTTTGCGTTGTCAACACTCTGCTCTTTAGCCGTCACTGGACACTGGCTACTTTCAAACAGAAGTTGTCAGAAGAGAGAAGAGAAAGTGTGTGTGACAAGTGACAAAAACAATTGAAAGTGAAGACAGGAACGCGCACTCGCTGACATTGACATCGTTAAAAAGAAGAGAGAAAGAGGAAAAGGAAACCAACTCTCTAAATGGCTTCAAAAATAAACTTCAAAGCTGAAGAAAAGCTGCTCGTTATGCGGTGCATCACGTCTCCGCAAGTGTAAGTGATCACCATAATCATAATCATCATCATCATCATCCTAACCTGCAAACTGGTATGCCACCTAACTACACTATAATTGGCATCCTGTAATTCAATACTACAAGTTTCACAGGTTCGACAGTTCAGATTTACACACTTTCCCCCCAGTCAATAAGATCTGCCTGCAAGTCGCATGCAAAGAAAAAAACAATGTTTTTCTAGCTTTCATCAATTGAAGGTGAAGAAGAAGAAACAGGCATGTGCATTTAGTTTGAAACAGCAGTGGACAGTACATACTTGTCAATGAAAATAGTAGGCAAATAAGACAATATGCGAATACAACAAACGTACCGCGGCGGCGATAGATCAGCGCATCTAATCAGCTGTTTTGCTGCTATGAAAGCAATTTTTATCAATAGAAAAGAATCTGTTTGGTGGAATTTGCTCACGCATTTTTATTTTTTGCTGTTAAAGATTTTTACTATCGATTTTAGTTGCTGCTGTAAGTGAGCACATACCCACAAGACAACAGCGTTCAATGACTCGACCTTGCTCACAGGCAGACAGACAACCATAATTATCCGAGATCATTGATCAATGTTTCTCTCTGTGGAAATGTCCATTTAATTACTGCTCACTGATGAGCAGCAGCAGGATCAAATTGAACTGTAA